ATACATATATATATACATTATATACGCATAATTAAACAGTTTTGCAAACATACATAATACAAAGAATATTAAAAATGCAATGCTACATGAAATGCAGAATTTGACAAACTTGAAGCATGCTGATGCTTGCTCCACTTTGCTGGACCCTTTTTTTTAAAAACTAGGGTTATTGTGTCTTTGATAAAGGGAAGTATTTGTCTTCAATTATGTGGGGAAATAATTTTCTGCTGCGTTGTTTTGCTTCTTTTTCTCTTCGCATACATTTTTTAGCTTGTTTTTTTTCTTTCTCTTTTAGCCTTGTATAAAAATGTTTTGGCTCTTATTTGTTCCAGAAAATGTCATCAGACAAGAAGACAGCAGTTGATGTAGAGGCCCTGCTGAAGTCCTTGGTGTCGGGGGACACTGCTTCTGCTACCTCCACTACCTGTAATGTGGCAACAGTGATGGCAGCTGTTGCAGAAGCTGGGACCCGTGCCAAGGGCTTTTCTAGGGGGAAATCCAGCCAAGGTGCAGTCGAGGGAATTCTGGCTCAAATGTCCATTGACCCTGAGACGATAGAAATTTCCGCATTTAGGGTGAGGGTGAAATCTTTATCTTTAAAGTTTGCCTCACTCAAGAAAAACATCACACACAACTGGGACGCCATTGAGACATTCCTCTCTGCACCTTTCTCTCTACCACTGAGAGCAACTCCCAAGCCCTCTCCTCCGCATCAACAAATGGAGTCCAGCCCTCCAACACTCACCGAGCACCACACTCCCAGCCAAACTCATGTGCCATCTCCCAAAAAACTCCGCCATGGGTCCTGCCAGTCCTGCGTTCACAAAAATTCATCCGTCCTGGCTTTGCAGGCAAAGGTCAAAGACCGTACAGTAAATCTTAATAGTGCGAAGAAAGGGCTGGCAGGACTTAAAAAGAAATTTGCAACAAGAGTCGTAAATCAGCGGGACAAGCGAAGCAAACAGCGCATCGACGATCTGAAGCAGCAGGTGACAGAGCTGCGAAAGCAGCTGCTGCGAGCTGAGGCTGCCAGTTCAAAGCTTCGTCTTATGAAATGCAAACTGCAGAAGGAGCGCAGCAAACTGGCACGCCTCCAACAGATTGTCGATGCCCTGAAACTCCAAGTTTCTTCACTGAAGAAGGCACTTCATGCTGCGGAAGACAGTGTTCGGGACTTGGAAGAAGTGTGTGATGCGCTGGAACAGTCGGGGTCACACAACGACGGCTTCATCGAGGCAAAGGACGGAAAGCGCTTTTCCACTGCAATACGGAAATGTGTCTATGGATTCTTCCTTTGCCAAGTGCCAGTGCGACACTGTGGAGTCGTCATGTGTACAACACTCCGGACCCTGACAGGACAAAAGCTGTCACATGCTCCAAGTCCCACCACTTCCGCACAGATGGCATATGAGTTGGGAGTGTTGGCTTCTCTCCAATTGGCTGAATTTTTCTTGGCTAGCAGCCACCTCTGTCTCTCCTGGGATGCTACCAGTGTAGATGGTGCTCACATCAACGAAATCCATGTGACTGCAAATGTCACAAAGTGCATGTCTCTTGATGTGAGACAAATCCCTGGAGGAACAGCTGCAGACTACGCCTCACACATCACGGAAGTCGCCAGTCTGCATGCAGCCTACACTGGACAGTCCCAGGAGAACATTGTAGCCAACATCTACAGTGCCATCTCCAGCACTCTGACAGACAGGGCTGCCGTCAATTCCTGCGTGGTGAGGCTCCTTCAAATGTCTATGGAGAGCAGTTTGTTGGAGCTGAACTGCAACGTTCACCCTCTGGACACGATAGCCTCAGCAAGCAGGACCTGCCTGGCAGCTCTGGACAAGAAGCACGGCATCAGTGGGAAGTGCTTTGGTGCCACCGGATGTGCTGCAAACTGCATTTTTGCAGTTTCTAAGTTAAGGTATGAATACTGTATATTTCCAAAACCTATTTAAATGTATAGGGTATATTCAGGGACCTCTGACAATGTTTTAATTTAAGTCATTGTACTTTTTTTGTTGGTTTACATCTTCAAATACTAACACTGCCTGCACGTTTATATTTCCATTATTTTATAGAATCACAAGATAGTGCGGAGATATATGCCTAAGTGGACTGCCCACAAATCTACAAAAAACACCAGAAAGAGACAAATACAGTTTGTAGAACCTCTGAAGGGACAAAAGCATTGAATATCTTACTTTCAGGGAAAAAATTGAAAGCAAAAGAGGCAGGGGTAGACCAAGATGATCGCAAGATGTTTGTTTCAGATTTAGCACTCCGTGATAATTTATAAGATAAAAATTAATTTTGCTTTTGCTTTAATTTTTGTGGAACACTACTATCCATGAGTACAATTCTAATGTCAGTTGTTTCTTTTCAATTCTTTTGCAGACACAAAGCAGGTTCAGGAGACCCAGAGGGGTTTAAAAACTTCCTTCGAGGGCATGATCTCTCTTTTGGGACTTTCCCTAGGTACGTAGGCAACCGCCTACACATCATGTTCCACCTTGCGGGGGTCATTGTGGAGCATAAGGAAAAGCTCTTGGAATTCCTGGAAACCAAGAGCACAGCAGGTGAGTTAAAAACTGTTTGTCCATTCTTGTTCCTTTTCAAATGTCAGCACTTTTTCTTTGTTTGTAGTGATTACTGTGGTCATGTCTCTCACAATGGCTATTTATTTGTCATCAGGTGTGTATACAGTGATATGTGACCAAAATAGGTTTGCAGAGGGTTTTTTTTTTCACATGATATGCTAGCGGTACATAGTTTTGTACAGTGTATTTTTTTGTTCTTGGCTGTTAACCCATGTCTATTAGGGCCAGAACTTAATGCAGTTTCCCAATTTGCTTTCCAGGACAAAGTCTTCGCTCTGCCGTACTTAATGATTTACGGCAAGAACGAATAGTGATCCAGCTGTGGGGTCTCGGCATAATTGGGAAAACTGTCACTGGACCGTGGATGAGGGAGTTCTACACTTCTAATAGATCCAACCTCGAGATGGCAAGTTCATCATTTTTATTGCTTTCATTTTAAAAACAAATTTTTTTGGGATTCAGTATTCTTATTTTTCCCCTGTCTCTTTTCAGGTGCTCCTGTCTTTTAAAGAATTTTAAAATATAATATTTGTAAAATATCAAAG